CTAATGTGACATATTACATTCCTAATTCTACAAGCCGCCTTTGTGCCACACTCCTCGAGGCAAGCCCAAACAAGTCCATGTTAGGGTCTTAAATTCTKAGTTTTCAMRCAAAAAATAATRATTTTATAGTTTTAATTGCTTTTAAGAAGATATTTTATTAGGATGAATCAATGGACATCATTACCAAATAGGGGTTCTTGAAGCTCCGGTGCGTGGCACAGGGGTCCGGGGGCGGAGCCCCTGGCCCAGCCGCCAGACTCAAAAAAAAGGAAAAAGCGGCAAATTTTCAAAAGGTGCACGCCTGGGCTAAGGTGCAAGGTGCACCAGGTGGCTGGCACACGCCTAGGCGCACCAAGCGTGCGCCTTTTGAATGGGCTACGCCTAGGATCTGGGCGGGGCGCCTACCCTAAAATGCGCCTCGCCTGTGCGCCTAGGCGCGCCTTTTAAATCACTGGCTTGGGTTGAGCTAAAACCAGGCCCAACCCGCTCGATTTTGCACCCCTAGTTCTTATAATTGATTTTCGGGTATACGGAATAACCCGACCCGCACCTATCATTTATACTTGGCAAGGGTGGGTGAGGGTCAATATGGGTGACGGTCATTATGGGTGGGTAAATGGGTCAATATGAGTGGGTGAGGGTGGGTTCTGACCCACTAAAAGGGGTTTGTAATGGGTCATAGTGGGTTGATGGGTCAATATGGGTGCATTGGTGTTCAACCCACACCCAACCCACCCATTTGCCACCCCTAAACTCCATAGACTGCATTTCCATTTTTCATCTCTATATAACCATACCTCTCACTCAAACATCCTCACTATCTTTGGAATATTCTTTCCAATTGAGAAACACATCTTCATCATCTTCTCTGAGACACTTTTGTAGAAACTCTCTTATTCTGTTTCCAGTTGAGATTTTTTGGATAGTTTCATACTTCTTCTTCTTCTTCTTTTCTCTTACACAGTTCGTAGATTTTGAATTCCTTCAAGCTCTAGATATTATAGTGAATATCTAGTGAATATTATAGTGAATATCACTATATCAGCAATTGACACCTTGCATTTGTAAACAAATGCCGATCATTCAAATTATACCTTTAAACTGAAAAAACGGAGCAACATAATACTCATGGAAAATGAGGAAAAAAAGAGAAGAAATACCAATTTGTAAGAGTGATTACCAGCAGAAGTCATAAAAAGCATTTTAAATAAGAGTATTCAAATTAATATAATAATGTTATATGAATCTCATTATCATTCTAAGAGGATTTATTGATACTCAAAATTAATATAATAATGTAACTTGAACCTGGCGACAAAGCAGAGGATGAAAGGAACAGAGAAATCAAAACAAGAGAGAAATAACAACGGTCATCATCTGAACCACTACAATATCTAGAGCTTGAAGGAATTTAAAATCTACAAACTGGGTAAGAGAAAACAATAAAAGAAGAAGTATGGAACTAAATCTTCTTGTTTTAGTTCTACTGGTATAGGAGGCCAGGTTATTTGTTTCCTTTTGCTTCATTATTTGRGTGTATGAAATTATGTCTTCTAGCTTGAAGGGTTCCTTTCTAAATTTGTTCTTTTATCCTTTTCTTCATTGCTTTGTACATAGGCAAATGCTTTCATTTAACTTCTGGATCTGGGATATCTTCTATCTAGGAATTGTTCTTCAACTAGGGTGAGCATGTTTATGCCCTCAGATTCTTCTTTCATATTTTTCTCGTCTTTACAGGTACAAAGACCATTTTCTCAGTTGCAACAGTTTCCTTGGGATGATGAGGAAGTTTCTCCTTCTGAGGTTATCTCTTCTGCTTCTCCGGAGTCATCTAGTTCATTAATCTTTATGCCAAACAGGGCCTAAGAGAACATTGGTAAGTGTTCTTATCCAAATAAGCGTTCCCTAAGAAACACTTGCGTGGATAAGTGCATTTACCCAGATAAATCATTTAGGTGGGTGATTACTTGACCATTTTCTAAACTAAAATACAAATAATATTTAATGAAAGGTCAAATATGTAAATCAATTGCAAATTATAGGGGTGTTTTAGTAAAACACAGTTTATAAGGTTGCACAAAACTATATTGGGTGCTTTTAGTAAATGAAAATAAAAACTGAGTCATCAATCCTTGAACGCCATGCCATTTACACTCACGTGATTGGAACGGCAGGAAAAGGAAACCATCCGACTTCAGATCTTAAATCTTATACGGTGAGTCTAGTTAGCATTACTCTTAAAGGCTAAGCCACCTGCTAGAATTGCTCATAAAATCTGACCTTTTTCCCATTTTTAGAAACTAGAGCATAACAGGTAGAAGGAGATGTGATGTATTGGGTGATTGAAGTGAAATAATAGGAAGCCCTAAAACAGAAAGCATAGAACTGGGAACTGCTTTCTTGTTTTCCAAATGGTGAGAGCTGTCATCGAGACGTCCAACCGGTTGAACACATAGATGCTCTTTTGAGTATCAATCAATCCTCTTAGAAGGATAATAAGATTTATATAACCTTATTATATTAATTTTACTACTCTTATTTAAAATGCTTTTATGAATTCTGCTGGTCACTCTTACAAATTGCTATTTCTTCTCTATTTTTTCCCTCATTTTCCATGAGCATTATGCTGCTCCTGTTTTTTCAGTTTAAAGGTATAATTTGAGTGATCAACATTTGTTTACAAATGCTAGGTGTCAACTGCTGATATTCAGTTAACTAGATTGTCATTCTTGTGTTCACTTTGCAGTGTATTACATACACTTGCCCACTATAATATATCTCTCAGTACGCTCTTTTCACCTGATGGAAAATTTGAGCATGGAAATATAAACAACAATCAAAGAACATTGAAATGTAAACTAATGCATTGATTGATAGGAAGAAGAGGACAAAATATCATCATTAAGTGTGTTCAAAAGTTAAAACTGAATGAGTAGACCTAATGCATTTAATTTATATTAAAAATTGACAGCATTCAACAGTAAAAGTCAATTGATCCATCCTTAGATCCTCAATTGATTATTATTATTAATGTGATGTCTGGTACAGTTGCTGTTTCTACTTGAAATGCTGCCACATCAGCACCACCTAGGTATTTTGAGTTAAAACCTAAAAGGTCATAAAATATTTCTGCTAGAAATATAAACCAGGGTGTGTTGGGGGGGATACATCAAATTGATGTTTCATCCATCAGTTACCCATTTGAAGAAACAGTACATTGACCTGTCTCTCAGTTGGCATCCTACATGGCAGTGTTGAGATATATTCTGATGCATCCCATACTAACAAAGATGAATATATACCATCAAATACTCATAAACTCTACCTCCAAGAAAAAAAGGTTCTTTTTTTGGTGCTATGCTTCTAGAACCATTATATTTGCATCTAGATGTTAATCTATGTGTAATAATGAGCCAGATATCAGAAAAAATTTATTTTTATAACTATCAAAAAAAAGGAAAACATTTATTTTTAAACTTGACCATTGGATGAGAACCAGTATAGTAGGGTGGTGTCAAATTGAAAAATAAACATTTCATTTAAACATTTTAGGTAGCAATGCCAATACTAAACAAAATACTGCTCAAAACACTTGTTCAACGCCTAGTTGACATAAGTACCAACCAGACAAGTTTCATATCAAAACGCCTATATTGGTGTTTTGACACAAAATGCCATTGCCTCTTCATATGTTTGAGCCTGAAATGGCAATGGTGCCCAAGACAACCTAAATCTCACTCAGGATTTTACTTATTTATTTATTTTCACATTGTTTTTTTTCTTGATAAGATCCCATTGTTTTTCTCCCTAAAGTGGACTTTTTATCTAAGATCTTTGAAAAGGTACTCTTGTTTTGATCAGCTGACTTCATGTAAGGCCTGGCATTTTTTTTGTTTTGAAAACTGTAAGGTAAAGTAATTCATTAGTTTGCATTTGGATGCGATGTAAATCAAGAACCGATGTAAATTTTACATCGGTTCGGTTTTGTATGTGTTTGGAAAGAGGGTGTAATTATTATTGACGTAAAACTACACTCCGGTTCAGTTTTGCGTGCGTTTGGATGGAGTGTAGTTTTACGTCGATAATTGATGTAAAACCTCATCAACTCTAAAGTTTTACATCGATAATCGATGTAAAAAGCTAAATCGATTTTATTGATGTAAAACTTTACACTCTTCCACCCATCACTATTTTCAAAAAATCAACGGTCACTTTCTGGTTCAGTGTAAAACGTCGTCAGTGTATTTTTACACTGATGACGTTTTACACTGATTCCAAACGCAGCCTTAATATCAAAAGGGCAGCATACAAAAGGCCCCTGTACAATGAGAGACTGTACAGAAGAAATAGACAGAAAAAACCCAGAAAAGCCAGCCTCCGAAAAACAACCCAAAAAACACTATGATCTTCTTACAAAAAGGAAATCAGGCTAAAAAAAAGAACAAGTTTGCCTGTTTTCAAAGAGTGGATGGTTTGTCAGCCACGAAAACACCATCCCCATAATCCTGTTGAGCACCTCTTCTTTTGATTTCTGCCTTCCTTAAAAAATTCTAATATTTCTTTCACCCCACACTGCCCAGAAAACAGCAGCGGGGAGGATACTCCAAGCTACTTTTCCAGCCTTGCTGAGGCCTCCTAGGAACCAAGCCTCTAGGAAACCCTTCACATCCTTTGGGAAACATAAATTAACTCCAAAAAACTCTAGCAGTCTTGTCCAAACCCAGTAAGTGAAGTCACAATGCAGTAATAAATGACTAGTACTTTCTACATTTCCATTACAGGATGCGCATTCCAGATCTGTCACTTCTAAACCTCTTCTAGCTAAATTCTCCTTGGTTAAAATCTTATCCAGCACTGCAGACCAAGCAAGAAAAGCTAGTTTTGATGGAACAAGCCTGATCCAGATCCTGTTGCTCAGAAAGTGAGAGGTCTCCTCCCTTGAAAGGTAGTTAAAAAAGGACTTTACTGAGAAAGAGCCCGACTTCTCAAACAACCATTTCCTTTTGTCCTCCCCTGAACCCAGGATCTTGGCATCATACAAATCTGCTGCAGGTTGACCAAAGACTCCACCTCCCAGTCATTCAAGTTCCTCCTGAACTGAAGCATCCTTCCAAAACCATTTTGCCTCTCTATATAGTCAGCCACAGAAGCATCCTTATTTACAGCTATCTCAAACAGATTAGGAAATAAGGTCGATAGAGGGCCCTCACCACACCAGTAATCCTTCCAAAATAGCAGTTGTGATCATTTCCCACTTCATATTTTATGCCCTTCAAGAACTGAGGACGAAGTTTCTGGAGAGCCTTCCAAACTGAACAGCCATTAGGGTATCTTGCCTCTTCTGTCTCCCACTCCCTGCTGCTAGAGCTATACTTTGCAACAACTAATCTTCTCCATAGTCTGTCAGAGTGCTTGTTGAATCTCCATAGTCATTTCCCTAGCAAGGCTGAGTTGACATCTTTCACAGGTCTTATCCCTAATCCTCCTTTTGCCCTGGGTGAGCAGATTCTTTTCCAGTTTACCAAATGACACTTAGAATCATCCTTCCAACCCCTCCACAGGAAATCTCTCATCCTTTTTTCTATAGTTGCAGCCCATTTAGCTGGAATTGGAAATAAAGACAAATAGTAGACAGGGAGGGAAGATAAGACACTTTTAATTAAGGTGGCTTTCCACCTTTTTGACAAGTACTTGTTTTTCCAAGAGGTCAGTTTCCTATCAACCTTCTCAATAATAGGTTCCCAAATGGTTTTAGATTTACAGCTTCCACCCAAAGGCATACCCAGGTATTTTGAAGGGAGTTTACCCACTTTACATCCCCAAAGCCTGGCATTACTGATAAAAAATGAAACCCAACATTTTTCTGGTTGTTTTTGGTTGCTGAAATTGATGCACTCAACCTAAAGAAACACTTTTCCCTTAAAATTACTTTATGATCGAGAATGTGTGATACTGAGAGTGTTCTATCACCTGTGATAAATATAAACATCATAATGTTTTAAGTATGATCATGGATTCATTTTGGATATTGTATGGTTTTGATGGTTCTACTGAAATTACAGGATTAGGAAGAGTATAATCAGTAGTAGTTAGTAGGCATTTAGTTGACCTACCCTTTTACAAATTTTGTTTTCATTGCAGTCATTTTTTAACAAATTCCCACAGATTTCATCAAGGGAAAAAAAGAAAAGGAAGGACTTCATAAATTTCAAGACATACTAAGATGTAAGTTCTTGATGGTTGATCTTCACAGTGTTTTTTTTTTCCATCTTTGGTTTGTTTGTGGGGTCCATCCTATTTATTACTGATTTGGGTAAATCATGAAGCTAGTTCATGATTGTGGTATAATTGAAAATTGAAGGTCAAGGGATGGTGGAGATGGTTGTGATGAAGCTAGTTCATTGAAAGAGGACAATCCTATGGTAACACTACAGTTACAGTTTGACAGTGAAGGTGATCATCAAAGTCCAGAACCTGTAGAAGGTGTTCATCAAAGTCCAGAACCTGTAGAAGGTGATGGAAATGAGCCAAATTCCTCCATCAAAGAACCTTTTGTCGATATGGAGTTTGAAAGTGAAACTCATGCATACAACTTTTACAATGAATATGCCATGCGGGTTGGTTTTAGTGTTCGAAAAGATTGGAAAAATAAGAACAGAGAGGGATGTGTGACAGGCAGGAGGTTTGTATGTTCCAGAGAAGGTTTTCGCAGACCAGATCCACGTGACAAGGGTGTAAGGAATACAAGAAAAGATACAAGATGTGGTTGTGGTGCATACATGACTATTGCAATAAGAACAAATGGAAAATATTATGTTAGCCAATTTGAGAAAACACATAATCATGAGTTTGTTACCCTACAACCATTCTTAAGGCCACAAAAGAAGTTTACAAAAGCCCAGGCTGTAACTGACTTGACAGATGATTCTAGAACACCTAATGCAGCAGTTGACTCCACGGGCAGGCAAGTGGGTTGTCAAGAGAATGTTGGTTTTCTTAGGAGAGATTACAACTACTACTTGCATACAAAGAGAATGACTGCATTAAAATCAGGTGAAGCAGCAGCTGTTTTACAATATTTCCAACACAAGCAACAACAAAACTCCTCCTTTTTCTATGCCATTCAACTTGATGTTGAAGATAAGATAACAAATATATTTTGGGCAAATCTACAAATGGTTGTAGATTATGAACATTTTGGGGATGTGGTTTGTTTTGATACAACCTATAAAACAAATAAAGAGGGTTGGCCATTCGGTTTATTTGTTGGAGTAAACCATCATAAGCAGTCTATAGTATTTGGTGGTGCTCTTCTTTATGATGAAACAACAGAATCATTCGAATGGTTGCTTCATACTTTTGTTAAGGCCATGTCTGGAAAAATGCCCAGAACTATTATAACAGATCAAGGTGCCGCCATGGCAAATGCAATCAAGACAGTTTTGCCAACTACAGATCATCGTATATGTGTATGGCACATGTATCAAAATGCACTGAAAAATATCAGTCATGCATTTCGACGTGGGACATCATTTGGCAAAGAATTCAACAAATGCATTTATGAATACGAGGAGGAGGATGAATTCTTGCAAGCATGGAAGGATATGCTGGAAAAATATGATTTGAAAGAAAATAGTTGGTTGCAACGACAATTTTCAATTAAAGAAAAGTGGGCTATGGCATATGGAAGGAATACTTTCTGTGCTGACATGAAAACCACTCAGCGTACTGAGAGCTTGAGAAGTGCTTTGAGAAGACACTTAAATTCTGATACTGATCTAATAGATTTTCTGAAGCATTTTGAACAGGCTGTGGAAGACCATCGTTCTGAAGAATTGCAGGCTGATTTTCAAATGAGTCAAAGTGATCCACGGATGATAGCACCTGTGAAGATGTTAATTGAAGCATCAAAAGTTTATACACATGCTGTCTTTGAAAAGTTCCAAGAAGAGTACAAAAAATTCCTGGCTTGTGATATTACCTGTTGTGGTGAGGTAGGCACAGTGTCTTTTTACAAGGTTACCATGGAAGGCAAACCTCACGAGCACATGGTTACATATGATTCGGCCAATGAAACATTGGAGTGTAGCTGTAAAAAGTTTGAATTCGATGGGGTTTTATGTTGCCATGCTATTAAAGTGCTTAACCACAGAAATTTAAAGGTTGTGCCCCAGCGTTATATCTTGAAGAGGTGGACAAAGTTTGCTAAAGTTGGGATTGTAGAAAATGTGCATGGATCAGCATATGATGTGGACCCCAATCTCGAATTGTTGGGGCGCTATCAAGATGTGTATCATAGATTTGTTAAAGTAGCAGAAAGAGCAGCAGAATCAAAAGAAGCATACAAATATGTTGCAATGAAGTCCCAAGAGATAATGAAAGAGGTAGAAAATATCATCAGTAAAGAGAACTCTAGAAATTCTAATGTTAATACATCCAAAGGATTGACTCTTGAAAGGGGAACAGTTGAAAATACATTTGTTGAAGGGGAACATGTTGATTCAGATAGAAACATGGTTGAGAATAGTAGCAATGATGCAACTGGTGACGTTTATACACAGCCTTTACAAGTAAGGAACCTTAAGAGAAAGGAGGGGTGCTCCCACCTTGTTCCGCCCATTGATCAACGAAGACCATACATACCAAGAGGCAACAACATCCAGCCACAAACTATTGCTCTGCCTGTTGGTCAACAAGGCCAAAGTTTCACCTTCCTGCAATAAACCCACACTTTCTAAGAACTTCATTCATACAGGTTATTCATTACAGGTACAATCTGCATAAGATTTCACCTCCATATAATTCAGATTTGACAAGTTTGGTGCTCAGGGGCCTTTGAGTTGTCTATCTTTTTGGTGCTGTAAAGTTAATCTTTTATGCGTTAAGCCTGTCTAAAATCTTCATTTTCTTTATATAATCTAGTCTTCACGGACATTTGAATTAGGTTTCTTGTCGATACCGCAATTTGAAAAATGGAATTTACCATAGGAAGCTGAACTCTTCCATTTATATAATCATCATACCAATAATGCAACTTGGGTTCTTCTGTATATTATAGACTTCCTTAGAATTAAGAAACTAAGTTTTGCAGTCATTATGTGACATTATATAAATAAAAAAAATTGATTGTCAAATACACTGACTGCTTATTTAGTAATCCTGTACAAATACTGACCCAAATTCATGGGGATATTAGTTCTTCATAAATTGTTGCTTCATTCCCACGATAACATGGAAGTTGACACAGTTTCTCCCATTGCTTCGTTAAGTCCAGGAAATTAAAAGACAAATACACAGGAATGGATCTACTTAAAGAAAGCATGTGATAATATGATAGCACAGGGTATGCCTATGACCAGAAGGGAGAAATCATAGCTGTTAAATTCTTTAACCTTATTTAAATCCATACAAACCATGAAACCAATGGAACATGAAGCTTAATACATCCAAAACATACATACTTGCCTTGTAACCTAAAACTCATTAGGTAGTATAATATTTTACTGAGCCTGCATCACTTCTAAGAATGGTACTTTTTTCCATTTAGGCACTCAACCATATGATTTGAAGTCTATCCATGCTTGCCTTGTGAATTTGGTTTGTCGAAGATGTACTGCATCAAACAGAATGTAGACTAATGCTGCTGCCACAATTAACAATGCAGATAGCAACTGTGTGTGTGTGTGTGAGAGAGAGAGAGAGAGAGTAAATGTAATCTCTCAATGGATAACCCTCGACCCAAGCCACCCTGATCCTAATGCGTCATAGGTATGGGTGGGTCAAATGGGTCGGGGACTTGGGGTCAAAATTTTCAGCCCTACATTAATCTGTTTGAAGTTTGAACCAAATGGTTGAACCGCAAATTTGGGGAGAGGGAAAAATGGATCAAATTTTAAAACATTGCACAGTTCAGATTCCGACTTAAACAATAATGATTCATTCTCAATTGTGTCCAAATGGTGAGAGTAATGTAGTTGCTGATTAATTCAAATGCAGGTCAGGTTTCAAAGAAGAATTCACATTCAATAATATAAATCTGACCCAAATCTAATTCCGATCCATTGTAATTAAGGTTGCTTTTGGCTTTCCATATTTTAAGGACTTATCTCCGTTTTACAGTTAAAATACTCCTGTGAACACATGAGTTTTTAAATGCAAAAAGAGATAAGTCCTTAAAATAAGGAATGCCAAATGCAGCCTAAATCTACTAATTATTAGGACCCATAATTTTTTTGCACAAAACTACAAGTGAAAGATTACTTTAAACCTTAATCTTTAGGTTCAAATACAACAAACCTACAACTCAGCCATGCTCTAATTATGACCCAGTTTGAAAAAATACAAATACAAATATGTACAATGCAAAAGCCTTGTATTTTGTATTTTTAAACCTGTATTTGCACTGTACATATTTGTATTTGTACTCTTTCCAAACTGAGCCTTCATAAATTTTGAATCTTAACTTTTTAGACATTTTATTCTTAGGATGTTTGTCAATAAATGGAAAAAAAGTTATTATTAAAATTTATATACTAAAAAGGATCAACACAAATCATATTGATTTTCTAAGAATTAAGATATATTCATACACATGCATATTTTAGCTCTTCCATCACTTTTCAACAGGGATCAATTGTTTCTTGATAGCTCACATTTCACATGAATAATTAAAGTACGTGTTTTTTTATCTCTATATAACTTATTTATAATTATCTAAAAGCTATATTCTAGGATTATTGATATATTTCTTGGGATTTATTTAAGTTTTTCAAGAATATCTATGTGCATTTTAATTTTTCTACTGTATCCAAAGCATATCACAATATGTCTCTTAAAATTTCCTTTCTAATATCCTTTACATTTTTTATGTTTTAAACCTTGATTTTACTTAAAGCCCATAGAAAAGCCAAAACAAAAATAATAAAATTATTGACTTAATTAGCAAAACATAGTCCTAGAGGATCAAACTATTGAATTGGTCAGCCCATTCTATAAGTGACATTTAACACTATTTTATAATATTGATTTATTCATATTTCAATTAGGGGTGCAGGTTAAGCATCGTAACCCCAGGGTCGGGTTTAAGAATTAGTCTTAAGGCTCGAGCTTGGACCGAGTTCAAGGTCAAACATGATATATCCAACCTAGGCCCAGCCTAGAAAATAGAAAATCTTGGGGTGTTGGTCTGAGTTTGGGTTGGGCCCGCCAAAATTTGCACCTCTAATTTCAGAGAGAGAGAGAGAGAGAGAGATGTTGGACTAGTGATGGAAAGGTTTGAAAAAAGATTGGTATCCTGGAAAAAGAATTACCTATCTCTTGTCGGGAGAATTACATTAATTAAGGCCACGCTTGCTAACTTACCCATCTTCTTCATGTCGGTGTTTAAAATCCCAGTGAAGATTGCTAACAGATTAGAGAAATTAATGAGAGATTTCCTGTGGGAGCCGAGAGAAGAGAAGAGGGATTATAGAGTTAGCTGGGAAATAGTGTGCAGGAGTAAGTCGTGTGGTGGTTTGGGGCTTGGGAGTATTAGGAGAAGGAATATGACTCTGCTGGGGAAGTGGCTGTGGAGGTTTCCTATGGAGAAGGAGAAGCTATGGGCTAGAATAGTGGCAAGTATTCATGGGCTGGAGTACAACGGATGGGACGCTGGAATCAGAACTAGGATCACAAGCAACTGCCATTCATGACCTGCTTCTAGTTTTCATTCCTAATATCAGGTATGACTTGAATTCCGTTAAGTCAGTCCACCAGTCCTACCCTGTCCYCTTTTCCTGTTGGTGAGGTTTGGTGCAAAGCTATACCTCCTAGGGTTGGTAGTTTTTGTTGGGAAGCCTATCTGGAAAGAATCAACACTGGTGATCTACTCCGAAAGAAGAGACCCAATACTTGCTTGTCACCTCAGTGGTGTGTTYTRTGTAAAGCAGATGRGRAGAMTGGTTTTCACCTAATGGTGTCGTGCCACTTCGCGAGGTCATTATGGGATTGGGCTTTCTCCTTATTTGGATGCAGCTGGAATCCCCCATCAGACATGTAGGGCCTTTTCGCCCCCTCCTTCTTCAGGTGGCAATTAAAAAGGGGAAGGACAATGTGGAGAGGACTAAGGGCTGCAGTATGTTGGACACTGTGGGAAGAAAGGAACTACAGGATATTCTCAAAAACTCAGAGAGGGATAGTAGATTTGAGGGCTATCATACAGTTTAGGGCGGTACAGTGGCTGAAATCTCTGGAAATATTCACAAATTACATTGTGGATGACATGTTGAGGAAGTGGGGTGAAATTGCAAGTTGCACGCAGACCAAGTCAGTAATGAGTGTGGCTTGGACCCCCCCACCTAGTGGATTCTTGAAATTAAACTTTGATGGATGCAGTAGGGGAAATCCGGGACAATCAGGGATCGAGGGTGTTTATAAAGATGAAAATGGGGTCATCTCTGCTATGTTCTCAGGCCCAATTGGAGTGGGTGACTCCCTTAGAGCTGAGATATGTGCAGTTATGGAAGGAGCMCRRAAARCYAAKGAATTGAACATCAAGAAACTTATAATTGAAGGGGATTCAGAGGTGGTGATAGGGTGGCTGACCAAAGAACAAAATGATCTTTGGAAGTATAACAATGAGAAGAGAAAATTCAAATGGCTGGTGCGGGAGATGGAAATTAAGATATGTTGGATTAAGAGATCAGCTAATTCCCTAGCTGACGGTTTTAGCAAAACAAGGGGCAGAAAGGGATTCTTTGTTTTGGGCTAAGTTGTAATGTTAGTGTCCTTGTATCTTTGTATTTTCTTCTTTCCTTTTTTGAAGTTCTTTGTGACTTTTGAAAGATAAGTGTGTTTGTCTTCCACTTGTAAATTTTCTACTGATGAATTAATGAAAGTATTATTGATAAAAAAAAGAGAGGTTGGACTAGTTGGCAACTAATTAACAGCAATCCATTGGTTGGTGAGTCTCCATAAAAACTCCAACAAACTCATCTCCTTAATCAGTGGGAAAGTCAGCATTAGGTAAACAACAATAGACCACCACGATCACAATTCACAACTCCTCTTTTCTTTTTCTTTTCCGTTGGTAACAAGACGGCGTTAGGAACGGATGACTCCTTCCTCCTCCTACTCTGTTTGGTCAGTTTTAAGTCAGTTTCCCATTTATGACTGCAATTAGGTGCCCCTCCCTTTCAATCACCATGTGCCCAATGCATAGAGGATCCGAACCCACCATTGAGTAGCTCTCATATAAAAAACGAACCATCTGACAAGCCATACAAATTTTCAGGCGCCATATATATATATATGCTTTTGAACTATTATTGGTGAAAGCTTTTTCTCACCATTATTATATTGAAACTGAAACTTTATTATATAATATCATTTCATTGTGTTGATTTTTTTTCTTTTCTTGTCTGACTATAATTAGAGTGAGACCTATGTAGATGATGGGTCCCTATCTTTTTAGTTTAACGTGGCTGCTTAAGAGGGCACCTCATTGCCCTTGTTTCTCCATTAGGAGAGAAGCCTGATGACTTGAACAGTAAAACCCACCAAATATTCAGTAATACTGTGAGTGGGACTAGTTTTCATGTGATGCATGCACCTTAAGTCAGCTCAGTTAGGTCTTTATCTTAATTGAGATGGGCATGGACCATCTTCCATTAAATGAGAGTTGATATATATCCTCCTATCAGCTTTCACTACTTCATTAATGCCAATGGCTTACCTTTTGCTGTCCCCCCGGGCCCCTGTTCTTCATGGAATAGTGAAAGCTACACTAAAGTAAATTGGAGATGCGATTACCAAATATCACTCAATCATATCTGTTTGCTCCAGTAAAGTAAATTGGATGATGGAAAGAAGGTATCGATTCATTTCTTGAAAATTACTGTACAGACAGTTCTTTCTCCCTTCTAAAAGATTCCCTTGATGGGATCTGTTTGGTAATCTGTGATCAAATGAAAGAGGAGACATGTGTATTATGGAGGCCCCATTTACACATCTTATGACCTAAGCCCAAATTTTACTTGCAAACAAGTTATGAACAGTGTTTTTGCTATCTTTCTTTCTTCCTTTCTTTTGTTTATTTATTTTTTGAAATATGTGATGACCAGAGCTTTAAGAATGGTTCCAATAGCATTGTTCATCACTTATTAAATCCTAATTAAAATTCTATCTTACTTTAAGTGAAGTGATTTTGGAATATCCCAAAAAGGTGCCACCCCCCTAATCATGCAACAAGGAAATGCATGCTTTTAAAGATGAAATACCCCAAATTTTGACTTTTATGTTTACAACAACAGTTTCTTAGTGTAATTCAAAAGCAGTTTCATATAAGAACGACTAAAGCAAAGAAACTATTCTTAGTGTTTCTGTAGGACCTCCACAATAAAAAATGCTGGCCATACAGGTAACTTATATGGGTGCAAATTAGGCAAAGTCGGTTTTGGTTGAGGTCAACCCTAACCCAACTTTCAGACTGAGATTCTTGACCCTAACTGGTTGCAAATGATATCTGTTTGTCTGAAGGTGAATATTCAAATTTGAACCAGTTCATAGTTGGATTGAATATTGACCCAACCCTTATGCACATGTAACATAACATGGACATCATGCTATAGTAATGTTTTACAAGAAATTAACATCCTTCATCATCATCATCATCATCCTATCTCCCATAGTCCCATCCCTCTCACATAAACATACTTATATACATAAATCATCAAGTACATACACACTGAAACTAGTCACCTAACTAGCTAGTGGCAAGGTAAGGATGCCTAACCCAACACCATGACTAATATAAAAAAGGTATCCCATCTAAGTGACTAGGCACTCACCTAGGCAATAGAATTGAAGTCAGAAACTTGCTTTAATTATCTCCAATACAAGATAGGAATTCTAAAGAATACTTGCAAAAGGTCTTAGGTTTTGTCAAATCAAGAAACATCTCTTTGATTACCTGATAGAAAGAGTAGCTAAGAAAATTTTATAGAGCTAGCAAGACATGTGCTCTCTTAATAGGCAAGTAAGGAGTATCAAATCAATGGTAAATACAATTCTAGCCTATGTCATGGAGCCTCAAACTGGTAGAAAATAAACCCTTTTGGGTGTTTTGGGTAGGGCTGTTTATGGGTCAGGTTGGGTCGGTTTATTGAGGTTTTTTCAATCGATTCAACCTAGTTAGGTTATCTGAACTTGACACCGAAACCGACCCAATGTTAAGCAAAATCGACCTAGTCGGTTTGAGTCGGGTTGGGTCGGTTTCGATTCTAAGTTCAACCATGCTTGACAGAAACTCAACTGCAATATATATGTGGGGACTGTGGCACCACAGTATGTGAGGTAGTGAATGCGGGAAAAGCCTTGTTTTTGATAAACAGAATATACCTCTAGTCTACAGTTTGGACTTTGGAGAGGAAAAGAAGAGCAAAACCCATATATAATAATAATGCCTATTATAGAGGTATATATGTTATATATCTTTTAAGTAATTAAGTTTTAATGTTTTATCTCCAAAACCACCAATCTATCCCTTCGATTATATATTCATTTTGAAGTTTAATTGTCTTAATTGGGGTTTGGGTGAATTCTGTAGGGAGACTTCAGGACAGTTAATTACAATCATTAATCTAGCCAATGTAATAGATTTGAAGAGGGACAATTAGTTATGGGGGCTTATTTAATTTAAACTTCATAAAGGGACAATTAGTTGGTTCGGTTCGGATTGGTTTCGGTTTTTACACAAGAAAACCGAAACTGACCCAAACCATCGGTTTGTGATGTTTTACAACCCGAAACGACCGATGCTGAAGATAACCCAGCTGACTCGGATTGGGTCGATCCGGATTAATCGGTTTGGTTGGGTTGGGCCTTCTTATGAATAACCCTAGTTTTGGGAAATTAATTATGAGGAATAGCTGGTGGGGTGATTGGGTTTTTCTGACCAAATCAATTCAGCTTTTGACTTAGCCAAATTGGTATGAAGGCTATATATATATATATATGGAGACTTAAACTTAATTTGTAGGCAAAAATCATATAAGAGATACATATTCCCATCTAACAGCTTTGTATACTCAAACTTTCCCAAGAACATATATGGTTTCTGGAAGGAAAAGTGTGTTGCCTTTGCTGGAAGAAACTAATTAAAGAGTACTTGCTGAAAAATAAGGTGTTGGATAGTGGTTAATTTTGGTTAGAAACTCATTTTTAGTTGGGATCTAAGGATCCCTAATAGATCAAGGAAGGATAGTTCTCGTCTACCCATTATTTTTGTCCAAGATGGATGCTCCATCTGTTGGAAGTGTAGCCATTTTGTGGCCCAGTCCAAGAAACAATAGGGAACAATTTAACATTTTCCAATTACCTAGCTTGGAGATAAAGAAATTATTTGTATGGAGAATTTATCACAATGCAACAGCAGTAAATGAAAATTTATACAAGAAAATGGTGCTTTGAGATGAATCCATAACCCATGCACCAAGTATAAATGTGATTGTGCTAGGTGCATGTGGTTTTGGGAGCCCTCGGGGGTTAAAATTGGATGAGCAAACCCCAACAAACCCATATCAAATGAATCAAATCTTGCTTAGAGCATGGTAGAAATTGTATAAAAAAGGACAGAAGAGAGAGAGAGAGAGAGGATTATGAACATAGTTCATAGATTACTAAAGCTGAAACAGATTGAAGTATGTATATGATAACAAACTGGGACTTTTAGAAAGATAACAAACTGGGACTTTTAGAAAGACAAGGAATGAAAACAACTCCTCAAGGCGACGGTGTAAGCTAAAAAAGACCAATACATGAGCTTCTGGCCTCGAGAGCATCAACAACGAACACAGAAGCCAACAGGCAATCATTAATCATATATCCATTACGTGTGCTTTCCTGGGCAACAGCGCGAGCTTCAAAGGCCAGAGCGGTGGAACACACTGCCTTTGGCCTCAAGACCGTTCACGAACACAGAAGCAAATGCATCCATTTCGTGCTTCATGAGAGCCAAACTGACCTCAACTCCACCATCACCATTGCAGCTCTCCCGTATAAAGATAGCTCCTGTCTTGTCGATCGATGCCAATTCCACCTTCTTCGGTCTTCCCCATCCAAAATCCGCATCATATATCCCCAACCGAGGCGACCCAGCAGCCCAAATCTTGCCCTCGCTCTTTGAAGACAGTAGCCGTGAAACCCACCCCTCTGCTCCATCCAGAGCTCCATCTTCCAACCCATTAATGGACTCCTCGATCAAGCATGCTGCAATGACAATTCCATCGTGTCTCAGCAAATCAGCCCTCTCGGCCGTCACTACACGAGTCCCGACGCAGTTGCCAAAGTACGTGGCCGGAACCGGAGGCTTCTGTCGAGCCCCACAGTCCACGTTAAACGAAAGGGAAACCCTTTGATCCCCGGACTTAACCAAGGATACCCAGATATAGGCGCACAGCAACGTGAAGGTCGACAGGCGAGCTGGTGGTAGCTGTTTGTCCTTGTGCAAAGCCATGGCGCCTGCCTTCAGTGTTGCAATATTGGCCCGACTCAGTTCAAACGTGGCTCTGACTGTATTGTCTGGCTGCCCAAAGTCCAAAACGTCTAATCTAGGGTTTCCGGCGGACTTGCAGTAGTGCTCTGTCAACTGGTTCAGATACATCTCCTCTAAGCCTTTTGGGTCCTTGATCACTGTTTTCTCATAGCATGGAAGAGCTTCGGTTGACAAAGATATCTCACCCAGCCTGCAAGCTGAAGACCATGCGTTGATGAAGTTCATGATTGTTCGGGCGTCAGCAACTGCATGGGGCATGGTGACTCCGAGGCAGATGCCGGAATCCGGGAACACCGTTATTTGCAATGCCAACATCGGGACAGTTGATCTGGATACTCGGAGTTCGGGGATGAGGGGGTGTAATTCCTTGGCGTCTTGCGCCTTGTTGCCGGAGAGATGGTAGAAGTTGCCGTCTGACTCGGCGATGGCCAATGAAACCGAGTCGCCTTGGGCGTAATGGATCATGGGCTTGGGACATTCCGGTGGCCATGACAGATGTCCGGCAAAGGGGTAGAAGTGGAAGAGGGTGAGGGAGAGTGAGTGTTTGATGCGGGGAAGGAGGCTCTGTCTGAAGTAAATAGATGAATGAGGGAAGCGGTAGAAGTAAAGGAGTTGCGTGGGTGGCACAGGCAACCAGAACAAGTCAAAGAAAGAGAGTGGGAGTGATGCTTCGATGACTGAGCCGGAGCCTGAGCCAGCTGCTGGAGCGACTTTGCACAGCTCCACCACCTTCACTGACTTGGGTGGTGCCATGAATGCCGGAGAGAAAGGGCAAGAACAACCACTCTTTGTGCAGAGAGTTATGCTTCCACATCAGAACCAAGTCACCAACACCAGATGTTTTTATACGGAGAAGAGACGTATGGCCTAGTGGGGAGGGGCCACATGGTACCCTTCAGCTCTTGCAACGTACTGTACAAGTCAAGAGCGAAGACAATCTTCTGACATGCATAATTTCTGCAATGCGCATGACGCCATTAAAATGGCGCAGAAACTCAGAAAAGGGTGGGAATAATGGATTCTCTGTACCGTCCTATCAGAAAGGAGTGAGAAAGGAGCGATGGACACTACTGGACAATGGGCTGTATCCACATCGAAGGGGTCGATCGATGACGGCAGTGAAACGCCACGACTGAAAGCATTAGACAACTTGCAGTTGTAAACTTTGCTGCTTTTGGATTGTGGGGACGGTTGGAAGTGGAAAAGCAGAACGGTTCCGGACTTCGAACGGATAATGGGAATGCGACCAGTCGTCTACTCAAGTAGTGATTCCATCTCCCATCCGATTCACAGACGAAAACGTAGATAAATAAAGAATCCTTCTGACCTTCTCCACACAGAAACAGCCTAGAGAATACAGCAGGCAGAGGCAGATAAGCAAAGAGTCTGTCTTGTGAACCGTATTGTAATTAGACCTGTTCATGGGCCAGGTAGCCGATGGCCCGGCCTGGTCATGTAATTAGGTCCGTGGGCCTGACCTCGGGTCTAATACAGTAAGTCCGATTGTGTTACGGGCTGGGTTTGGGATTTGTCAAAAAAGTCCGGCCTGATTCAGTATTATATATTTTATAAAATATATAATATGTATTTTATATATTATATAAAATATATAAATAATATAATATTTATTGAAATATATATATATATATATTTATAATTTAATATATACATTTTTTTATTTTTTTCTTTATAATTTCTCTCTCACTCTCTCTCTCTTCAGCCACTTCAGCAGTAGAAACAATATGGGCTAAATTTCGGGCTTGGGCCCAGGCTTGGGCTTTGGGCTTTTTATGAGGGCCGGGCTCGGGCCCAAGTTGTAGGCCCGATGGTCGGGCTGGGCTTGGGCTCGGGTTCGGGCCTTAAAAAAATCTGTTAATACAGAGTGAAAGCCTAACCCGAGCCCGGCTCGACTCGACCCATGAACAAGTCTAATTGTAATACTTGGTCAATGGTCAATGAGAGGACGTATAATGTAGTTGGCCGATTTTTACCGGTAGAACTGTAGATGATTCCAACACTGTACCAATGAAAAAGGTAGGTTTGGTTTGGCATCGCTAGGTTTAATTATTTAGAATTTAATATTAAATTATCATTGTGAGGTTTGGTTTGGCTTGATTTATCTTTATGTAGATAGAGGTAAGGTCTTCATTCTCATTATTGAGCAATATAGGACCTAGAAACTTGAAACAACACTCAATAATGAATATTTTAAGTATTTTTCCCTCACATTGCCTATAAATGAGATTCAAGGCCTTTCCTTGACTTAGGGGTGGTAAATGGATGAGATGGGTAAGGGTTAAATATCAATCCACCCATATTAATCCACCAACCCACCATGACCCATCACCAATCATACTTAAAGGGTCGTAATCCACCCTGACCCATCTATATTGACCTTTAATCATCTTCACCCATACTAACCCATCTACCCTCATTTATAGATACAAAAATGGGTCGGGATGGCTCGTATATGCAAAATAATAAATTTTGAGAGAATAATCTCTCTCAAAATTGTCACTTGACAAAAACGAGTCAAGTCAACCTGTATCCCGAAAATGCAAAAATTGTAGATAAGTGTAAAAAATTTCAAGAATATTTATTTGGGAAATTGTCTAAAACTCACAACGAGTTTTCAATATTTCTCTTAAATTCAGCACAACTTTTCAAAATGTCTAAAACTCACCATATCAGTAAGTTTTTATTTTCCAAAACTCACCTTCCGTTAGTGCACCGTTAATGCTTCTTAACAGAGGTGCCCATGTCAGACTAAATAACAATTTTCATGACCAAATTGCCCTTGAATGGTGAGTTAGAGGAAAAATGGCCTTTTTTAGTTTTCAATTTTCTTGTTTTTTTTTGCATTTTTAGTGTTTTGTTATAATTTCCAATGCTTTTTATAATTTCAGCTTTTACATTTTCTATTTTCTACAATCTATAATTTTTTTCTTTATTTTTTTTGTTATTTATTTGCAATTTCTGTGTTTTTTCTATAATTTTTGGTGTTTTTTCTATAATTTTTATTTTCTGATTTTTTTTTTCAATTTATATAGTTTCCATAATTTGAAAATAATTTTTTATTTTGTTTGAATATTCTATAATTTTTTTTATATTTTTTTTGTAATTTCTATGTTTTTATGTATTTTATATTTGGAAATATTTTTTTAAACTTTTTCCTTTTTTCATATCTAAATATTAAAATGGTAGTATGTTAACACCCATTAATTCATTTTGTATATACTTTATATTTTTCTATGAAGGTTAAAATGGTAATATATTAACACCGGTTAGCATGTTTAACGCCAAGTTAGTGACATGATGAGTTTTAGACAATTTCCCTATTTATTTATATTCTAAAAGTTTTATAATTTATATAAAATAATAAATATTTAATATAAAATAAAATGTATTTGCAATATATTACATATAAAATATATAATATTTTATAATATAAAAATATTATGTATTATATATATTTAATACTATATATTATATTATATTGTTAGTCGAATTGGGCCTAAAATGCTGGGCCCAAGCCCAACTCAGAATTTTTTGGATTTAATGCAGGCCTGGTCTAGGCCAAGCCTACACACAAAAACCTAGGGTCGGGTCCCAAAAATTTGCGGTCTATCTTAGGAGTTTAACTTGGGCAGGCCTCGTACTTTGTATAGGCCATGGGATCATTCTCTAGTGCGAGTCTGGATCTACTGATTACAATATATTACTGGCCACACTCACCCGACAACACCTTGAGAATATTGATAATGTAAAGTGTAACATGGCGAACAACGTGTTGTGTTCAGCAGATCCGAACTAGTTCTAGAGTAGCTGTGCACCTTAAAGCACCCCAAATTTTGGTTAAGTTGTGATGGTGCACGATCTGAATACTCCTAGCTGGAGGGCGATCCGGACTCCAGATGGACAATGAGCTGGATCGATCTACAAAACAGTCTATCAGAGAACCCGGGGTAGCTAATCCGACGAGGTCGCTCCGATGCTTAAGTCACAAAGTATGCTGTAAATGCGAGCTGAATGCTTGAGAGCTTGAGTGCTAGAGAGTAGAGTAATCACGCGTACCTTTGCCTTGAGATTTCGAGTCTTTATATACTGGAGTAGCCGTGAGCTTCACGAAAGAGCTCCAGGTTCTCCGGGCTGTAGAGATAAGGTTGGTTCCATTTTTGGAGGAGGGCGATACGTGGATGAGGTTTATTGTCCACCTCCGATTAAGGCGGAACCGGGATGAGTTCTTATTGTGACCTCGGGAGATTCGGGATCTGTTGGCTCATCGCGATCCAAAGAGATTCAGGATCTGTCAGGGAGGCCTTCGGAGTTTGTTATACGACGCTTCGACTCGTTAGCTCCGAGTTGGAACTTCGATTCTTCAGTCCCGAATTGGATTGGATACCTGAGGTGCCTCTACGCCGAGATGGGTTTGGAGCCGAGGTGGCTGGATACCCGAACTACGAATGTTGCAAACTGGGCTTGCCTGGTTGAGTTGTCATCCTTTAATCAGGTCGCACCTACGTGTCCCCTTCCTATTAGGTCGTGCCAAATCACCCTTCATCAAGTTGCCCTTGCCCACCTTCCCTCCATGCTATATGGGTGGGGTCTTTATCGGTTGGGATTTCGATCAGATTCAGTTACATCCGAATCATATCTGATTATTTGACTTAATCAGACTCGTATAGGATTCGGGTGTAAACTGATCCTACTCTATCATCATTAAAATAATGAAAAAAAAATAATTATTTTTAATTGATATATAAAACATTATAAAAATATGTATATTTATATATTATAAAAATATCTATATATGTACATTATTATATTACATATAATTGGACTCAGATTTTTATTGGATCAAATCACATCCAAATTCAAGTAATCTTCGTATGTTGAACGGGATAACGAATTTTTGGAGGCCGTTAACAACCCTGTATATGAGGTTGGGTTCATAGTAAGGTTCAAAATATTAATACATATCGGGAGTTTCTCGAAATGCCTTTATAGAGGGTGTATTGGGATTTCGATTGGTTCAGGGGTGTACAAACCTTAAACCGGCCCCTCTGAACCATATTTGAAAGAAAAAAAAAGAAAGAAAAAGTTATCGATACTGTTTGATACGTCTCTATCGACAATTCAACATATCAGGCGTATCGATATTTTGAACCTTGTTTCACAATACAGCGATTTTACTGTAGTAGACTCGATAGTTTATTTCCTTCCTTTCTCCACAAACTATTAGGTGCAAGCTCAGTTGGGCTCCACTCCTACAAGAAGCCAAAATAAAAAAAAGGTGAATTGCTGAAATTTCCCCTATAATGTCAGACCATTGTTGCAATATTCCTTGATGTTTGGTAATTACAATCGCCTCCCTTAAATTTTTTTACACAGCTCTAAGTAGAGTTTCTTTGTTAGAATCGTCTAATGAAGACAAGAAAAGAATTTGAAATTGCAGCTTTACATATTTGAACTATTGATATGAAGGCAAATATAAAAAATAAATCTATTTCAAAAAAGAGATTAGAAGGATTTAGGCTAACCATTCATATGAGGTGATCATTTAAAAAATAAATATTTTTTATTAAAATTAATTGCATGAATATTTTAATTTATACCTTTTTATGCCTCTTTTTAGAAGATTTTGACTAAATAGATCTACTTACAACTATATTAAAAAATTCAGAAAAAGTAATTACAATTAACAAGCTGCATAGCAGATTTCAGCAATTTACCCAAAAATCCTCCTGAAAGAA